GGTTATGATTTCGCGGGCTTTTGCTTTATGCGTACTTGGTTTTACTACAATAATTCACAGGCGCGGCTCGTGAGTTTTTTTACAGGTGGGTCAAATTAAGAGGGACAGCGCCGCAGGCTAAAATAGCGCCTTAGGCGAACAATTTTTGGTATTAAACTAAATTTTTTGGCTTTAGTTTTTGTCTTTTTGTAGGAATTTAAATTTGAATATTTGAATTTCGCGCCCATTTATGGTCATTTTGAAATTTGACAATTGATGACGTAGATATTGGCTCAGTTAGCGGAGGAGAGGTGTAATATCCTTGCTCCTAATTTCAGGTCATGTCTTTATGTCTTTACTTTACGTCAAGTAGAAAACAACAGGTTAGAAACGTGCAATGTTAGTAAATATTTAATTAATAAAGAAAATACAACAACAATTTAGTTAATTAGACCCATCCCTACATTTTAAATAAAAAATTAACTTACTTTGGGTGGGTCTAATTATTATTGTTCAAGTAGGCTGAGTCCCAAATTTAGACACGTTTGAACAACAAATCAATTCTCCTATCCTTCTGATGAGCAAAGTGGTCAATGACTAGTTCATTGAAGTTCCCAATTTTTTTGATAAATGCCTTCTCAATACTGAGCATAGCCAATGCACTCAACCTAGACTGACTGCTCTTTCGTGGTTTGGCATAAATCAAGCTTTGCTTTTGGACGACCACTTTTCTTCAATTCCAAAAGTCAATCCCCCACTGGAATTTAAAGATATTATTTCCTGAACAAGGGAACCCATTTTTGTGAAGCGATTTAAGAAAAATTCAGGAAAGATTACTCAAAAAATTAAATCAAAACAAAAACAATGTGCACAATGATAATTCAGTAATTGTTTTAAGAAAAATAACTCTGGACACCACAACACTCTAGGCCTTTTGTTTTTCATCTTTCTTCAATAAACGCGATTGAAAAACGACAATAAAATCGTCGATTCTGAGCGCTCTTGTTCCGTTCCGATAAATACCTATCTCGATCGATCGAGGAGCTGGCGCTGTTCCCGGCCGTCGACGTGATGGAACATATGGAAGCAAATGTGCCTCTTTATCTTACTCATGTTTCTCTCTCTCTCTCTCTCTGATTCCTATTGCATTCGCCTATGATCATTTCAAAGCTATAAGCCCAATTTTAAATACGGCCCAGCGCAGCTAGGCCTGTATTTTGGAATTTTAAAAGGCGGGTACCCAATATGCGCAAAATAATTCGATTTCTGTATTCTGTTGAGCGTGATGTTGGTTAATTTAAAACGTAATATTCAAGATGTTTAATTGAAAATTTATTGTTTGATTTTTTGGTGGGTCATTGACCGAATGACCTTAAAGAGAAGCCGCGCCTGATAATTAACATTCTTAAAACAATTATTTTTTAGATCTCGTTTTCATCTTCCTCTTGGCCTATTATGTTAATCAAAATTAAATTATATTTTCCATCATAAATTTAAATTCTAAACTACGCCTGCTACTGCAAACAGCTGACGACTTAGTTAAAGACGTCGGCAATGGTGCTACACCATATGACCGCGATTACCAAAAACAAGGCTGATAAGCAATCCTTAGTAGAATGTATTATCCTTGAGCTGCTAGAGCGTTGGCGCTGTCAAGCTCCGTGAGCAATCTTGGTCATTGGTTCTTTAAACTCCTATATATTCATATTGAAAACGCCGCCATTTTGTGCCCCACCTCTTGTTAAATTTTAATATGAATATATACGATTTATGGCTAGTTGCACTAAGATTCTGTTAATCCAAGTTTAATAAAACTGAGGTTCAAAAATATACCCCGATCATTTGACCTGACATTGCACGTCACACAACTAAGCTGGGTTTGATTAAACTAGTAATTTATAGGAGTTTTTCGTTTAGTTTGGCAAACATGTTGAAAATTTGTCAAATGTGAAAGCAAAAATAGAAAATAGGTTTGCTCCAACCCGTCAAAAAACCGTCCCAGAATGCGCGAAATTTTTAGGTTTTGCAAAAACAGATCAGCCAATTTTACCAACAACGATAAAGCTCTCCTAATTATTATTGTGGCAAAATACAAAGCCATTATTGAAAATGAAATTTAAAAAAAATGATTTTCTGAATAGTGTTTTTTCTATTTTCCTAGCTAGCAACGGTTGAAACATTCTACAGCTCCTGGACAAGAAGGCCCCGTACTGTTATACTTAATACTTCTGTATTATTTTCTTCCAAGTGTCTTGTTTTTCACTGCGCATTCAATTAGTAAAACTTTTCTTTAAACCGTCAAAAATTATCGTTTAAAAAACCAAGTTCAAATGAGGAGGCGGACCACAAACAATCGCTATCGATAAGTTCTCGACAATTTCCCCTCACTTCTCACCTCGTCCACCCATCGTTCAATGTTAGTCGCCAAAATTGCCACCACAAACGAATGTTTGCGGTGGAAACGAACTACCGATCCTCATAAGACTTGTGTAGAACAAATCTGAAGCCTCCCAGAAGCCAAATCACCAGTTATGCGTATCAGCATGTCGTTTCTCACCTTGACGTAGGCTGCTTGCACCACAGGTTATATGATATTCATAATCATAATCCAAAAAAACACTGCAAGTTTCCCATCAATTCCATGCATTTAATGATGAATGATGCATTTACATAGTAAACGCAACAATAAAGGAATGCAGCTGACGTCACCTCCAGCGAGAGTTTTCGCATTCTCACGGGCCGACAGATGCGCCGTTTTCTCGCGTCCATTTTTTTGACATTGGTTCAAAACCGGTTTGAAACAGTCAATGGCACTATTGCCAGTTTCAAACCTGTTTTGAACCAATGTCAAAAAAGTGGACGCGAGAAAACGGCCATGGACTTTATATACATAACTGCCCGCTTTACGGGGGTGACATGGGGGGTTTGTAGCTTTGGGGGTTGATTGAGAGAAACTCGCTCAGGTTATATAAAAATATAGATATATATTTTCCCAAATTTGCCCTTACATGTACGCTAATCCTATAAGATGCATGACCCTTCGAACACTGAGGTCCTTATAGGGAGCCACACGTCAACGCTGCTTGGGGGACTGTAGATTAGTTTATCGTCACCCCTTATGCCTTGTCCAGAGGGGCTTTCCCAACGAGAGATAATTGCACTGAACAACGATAAGGCTGAGGATACCCAGAGGGGCTTTCCCAACGAGAGGTACTTGCACTGGGGAGACTTAATTCCAGAGGGGCTTTTCCAACAAGAGATACTTGCACTGGTTTAAGTCTTTTTTTTTTCCTCTTGCTCGAAAGCAATAATTGTCCAGCAGTTTATTAGCTCTTGGAGCTACTTTCTGAACTAGGCTTGTAATAGGTTACGCACAGCTAAGGATAATACACACAACTACTACAGGATAGCCTATCCTCATAAGGCTTGTGTAGAACAAATCTGAAGCCCCCCACCTCGCCAAATCACCAGTTGTGACGTAGGCAGCATGTCGTTTCTCGCCTTGATGTAGGCTGTTTGCACCATAGGTTATGATTCCGCGGGCTTTTGCTTTATGCCTTGGTTTTACTACATTAATTAACATTCTAAAACAACTCCTTTATAGATCTCGTTCGTATCTTCCTCTTTGCCTATCATGTTAATCAAAATTGAATGATATTTTTCATCATTAATTTAAATTCTAAACTAGGACCGCTGGCGCAAACAGATGACGACTTAGTTGATGACGGCGACAATAGTGATACACAAATTTGGCCGCGATTACCAAAAACTACAATGACTCTATTATACCAGAGTGGCGACAATTGCCGTCTTCTTTTTAATTGGTTCTTTAAAATCCCATATATTCATATGGAATACGCCGCCATTTTGTGCCCTACCTCTTGCTACTTTTAAATATGAATATATAGGATTTAAATGGACATCCATCATAAAAAATTGAAAACAACGTATCCGATGACTATAATTAGGCACATCAAATACGTTGTTTTCAATTTTTTATGATGGATGTCTATTTAAATCCTCTATATTCATATTTAGAAGTAGCAGAGAGGATGGGTACAAAATGGCGGCGCGGCGGGCCTCTATTGTTGCCACTACAGTGGCTAAATAAACCTTTACATACAGTGGCGACAATAGAGGTCCCGCCGCCATCTTGTTCCCAATCTCTTGTTACTTTTAAATATAATTTATAGGATTTAAATGGACATCTATCATAAAAAAATGAAATCGAAGTATTTGATGACCATTATTAGGTCCATCAAATACGTTGTTTTCCATGATTTATGATGGATGTTCACCTAAATCCCATATATTCATATTTAAAGTAACAAGATGGCGGCGTTTTCAATATAAATATATGGGATTTTAGAACCAAACAAAAATAATTGCTGTCTTATTTTTGTCGCCACTGTGGTAATAGAGTCACTGTAGTTGCCACTGTATGTAAAGTAAAGGTTTATTTAGCCACTCTACCAAAAATGTACCAACAACGAGCCGATAAGCAATCCTTCGAAGTGTGTATTATCTTGACGCACAGTAGCGTTTTTGAATGCACTTGACACATTTTCATGTTGAATGTCAATTGTCAAATCATGTGGTATGAAAAGGCGTAAAGTATTTTAGCCGCTTTCCAGCTGACGCTTTTGAGCACGCAATCGAGCTTTTGCGCGCGCAAATGCTTCAAGGGCGTGTTCATGTTCCAGCCGTACTGTGCTTCGAGAGTTCATTGGCTTCGAGAGCTTGCTAACTTTTGCGTTTCAAACACAGAACACTGTGCTGCACCGTGCTTGAAGCATACAGCTGGAAAGCGGTTTTTAGCGCGAGTTTCAACCGGTAGACTTCACCGTGAACGTGACAGATAACATAACCCAAGTTGCAGAAAAGTTTTTTTTATAGTTTTTTCCTGGCCTAGCAGAGCAATATATAAACAAGCAATAGTTTTTCCGGATAGACTGATTTTATTATTGATATCTGGTAAGTTGGTACACAAAAAAATAAATCAAATGACTTTATTGTTTTAGCCTAGAAAAATGGCTCAAAATGCTAAAACCCCTGTAATGGTCCTCCAAGAATTAGCAATGCACAAGGGCTTTGGCACACCGGACTATGAAATCATATTCGCTGCAGCCGGTTCGCACCAAAACAGATTTGATTACCGTGTAACAGTGGCCGGAATACAAGCTTCCGGAAGCGGCTCCTCCAAACAAATCAGTAAACACCAGGCCGCCCATAATGCCTTGATGCGACTTAAAGAACTGGGCATTTACGTACCTGCTGAAAATCCGGTTGCTAGCTTCAAAGTGCCTTTGAGGGATGAAGGTAGTCCTTTTGAACCAGCTCTTAACTGTATAGGTGAGTACAAACACGAAAAATAGTAAGTAATTAGGTATCAGTAAAGTTGAAAAGTTAACGGAAACACAACAAAATGTAACTCACAACAACAAAGATACCTATAAAACCTATGCATATTTTAAATGATCCTTCAGCTGTTTTAAACTAAAAAGAGCAACCTCACTAATCACCTGATTCGTTATTTTAAAGCTATCAAGCATATCTCTGTATTGAAACTCATATACCTAAATAGGTATTATTTTTAACTGCCGCAAAAATCTCTTTTGCACTGTCTCAATTTCATCAGTATGCGTGGCTTCCAGTGGCATCCAAATTGGTGAGGCATATTCACCTGTGCAATATACAAATTAAGAAAAAAGAGGAAAGTTAATAATTAATAAAAACAATAGAAATCCTAGCTTCACCCTCTGGACTCTACCTGTAATGTATGACCTTATAAGATGGTAAATACCCCAATATTCCAATTACAATCTCAGCAAGCCTGTCAATGAGCAGCAACTCATGGTCGACCTTGTCAAATGCTTTTTTACAGTCATTGTAGGTATATGACATCCAACGATCCAACTGACTTTTATTCGTGATTGCTTCAGCTACAATTTCTGTGAATATAGAATGGGTAGTTATTGTTGACTTATCATTTGAGAATCCATGCTTTATTTAGAAATTTTTGGTTTTAGAAAGTCTGAAAGATCTAAAAGTATATACTTCATATATTTTTTATCAATTTAATAATTCGGCAAATCTTTGGGCAAATCGGTTCAGGAGATTGCTTTTAAAAGAAAGGTTAAAAATATGTTTGAGCTTTGAACTGAGCTAGCCCTTCATAAATATAGGTAAGTCCTGTCCATTTCTTTGATATTAATTTTTTATTACTGTCACCGCGACCTGAACGCAGCGCCAGACCGCTTGGCCTTCCTGACTTCCCAGATCTACCTTTATGTCTGCGTGGCTCTTCTTCCCTCGGGCTGACATCATGGACACTAGAAAAATTTGGTGGAGAGCATGGAGGGTCAAAATACGTAAAAACGTTAAGTAGGCAGGGCATCGCAACCAAGCGAAATTTTGTCACATACTTTTGTGATATTATCTCTAAACCTAAGGGACCTATCTATTGGCAGACCTAAAAATGTATTGAAGATTGGCATAGTAATGGGCTCATTTTCCAGTTGAATAGTGGTATCGTTTGCAACAGAGAAGCCATAGAGATACAGAAACACTACAACAACTTCAACAGAAAAGAAGAGGGTATGAACCTCATTAAAAGCTGGTTGCCAGTTCTCCGAAAAACAAAGATCTTTCCTTTCCGAGAACGAGACAAGGAAAATAGCCCAATACAAGCCACGCCCACAACCCTGGATATAAATAACGCAGGCCCAACATCGTTGAATTCAGTCATCGGAGAAACACGGAAGAGAATACTTCGTCCTCTACCACACCGCCTCTGAAGATGTCTACCGCAGCAGTAGACAAACGCTAGGTAGAAATACTAATGGACCACCACATTATAGCCCGGAAAAAACTTTTTCACTACATTGTATGATGTGTTCAAGAAACTCGAAGATGATTATTATCGCGACGTCCGTATAGTATAGTGTGAAGGTGCTGTGTCAGTTTTTCTCAGTTTTTTGGTGGTTTTACTTAACTAATAATTATGATTTTTGTACCAGTTGTACTTTACCATGTCTAAAAACTTTTGTGTTAATCGCATCGCCAAATATTAGATAGGTGTTATTTTATTGCCATTATTGGATTTCAATCAAGATCAATGGGACGAGGTATTCACAATTTTTTTTCGAGCGACGATGGTGTAAATAAATAAACGACCAAAATATTTATTTTATTAAGACTCCTTATGTGCAAATACGAATTTAATCTACAACCTTCCAGGCCGTAAATATTTGGCTGACTTATCTTAGAAACATTAATCTCACTCTTTAAAAGTCTTGCAACTTCAAATAAATATCTTATATTGATTGGATACCTATATCATGGTGTCTAACTGTATTGTATGCGGTACCCCATGTATCTTTAAACGTCGCCCGAACATTAAGGAGGGCGAGCTTTTTGGTGTCGACTGTGATGGTTGTAAACTTATTCACTGCAAAGACTGTGCAAATTTGACATCGACAGAAACTGATGCCCTGGCTCTGCAAAATCGAACGATCTCGTTCTACTGTAACGGTTGCAAACCAAATTTTCCTGAAGCTGAACAGCTATCGCAACAGTTTGATCAACTAAAAATGCAGTTAGACCAAAAAGATAAATATATTAACTCCCTGGAAAGTGACTTTGAGGATTTCAAATTGAGCCTAAAACAAGAAATTGACAGACTTAATATCGACAACAAAATGAAAGATGACCACATAAAGCGCCTTGAGAGAAGGACTAAAACTCTTGATGATGAAGTATTCGAAGCTGAAAATGCTTACTTAAGCACTATCCAGTCGCAAAAAGATGAGCTTAACCATACTTTCAAAGAAATATCAAATCTTCGAAGTCAAAACGCTCAAATGATGGAGGAAATAGGCACTCTAACTACCAAAATCAAAGGGCTAGAAAATAAATTGTCCGATTTCAAGGACGTTATAAGATCGCTGCAAATCAATAATTCATCTCTGTTAGAGATCAATGATAGGCATCTGCAGGAGCTACACGAACTAAAAACAACCAGCTCTCCTCCAAAGTGCATAAATATGTGCGCACAAGCTGATCCATATATTGCTGACTCCTCACAGACTCATAATCATATCATCCAGGAAAAAAACGTAGTATTGAGTGGTCCTATTTCCAATGTATGCAGTGAGAATAAAATTGCATCAAATTCTGTTATCAAAAACAAAAACCGCATACTCAAACAAAAATATAGGCTCTTCATAAAATCAAAAAAATACAAATCTCACTATTGGAGACATAAGTATGTTACTCTTAGGAGCGCTGTCAAATATAAGGTTAAACTTGCTCATTCCAAATACCTTCGTGATGTAGAGGCAAGCTTTAAATCGAACCCTAAAATTTTCTGGTCCTTTCTAAAAACTCTAAAAGATTCTCCTGATTTCTTGGAGGAAATGGTCCTTGATGAGACAACCTATTCAGGATCCCAAGGTGTGGCCGACGGTTTTGCCAATTTTTTTAAATCGGTATATATAAATGACGACGATATGAATTGTAACATAACGAGTGTCAAGTCATATTTCTGTAATAAGCCTATCACTTTTGATGAGACTGAGAGGGCAATCGGGAGAATCAAGGCAAATAGGGCAATCGGCCCTGACGGAATTCCCGCCTATATTCTAAAAGGTTGTAAAGAATATCTTTTAAAACCTTTCAATATTATATTCAATTTAATTTTAAATACTTCGAAATACCCTGACAAATGGAAAATTTCTAAAATTATTCCTATTCATAAAACTGGGGCTAGAAATGAAATAAAGAATTACCGCCCCATAAGTATTATGAGTGCAGTCTCAAAAATATTCGAAAGAATTATTTTTGAGCGACTTTTCGACGAGATTTCAGGTAATCTTGCATCCTGCCAACATGGTTTCTTGCCCAGAAAATCTACATTTACCAACTTAACAACCTTTTGCCAATTTGTTCATGAAGCCATTAACGATAAATCTCAGGTGGATGTCATCTACACTGACATGGAGAAGGCGTTCGATAGAGTCAGACATTGTGTGATATTGGAATCTCTTAAGAGCCTAAATGTGTCCTCATACCTAGTTTATCTGATCCAGTCATACTTAAATGAGAGATTCCAATTTGTCGAAGTTAAGGGTAGCAAATCAGTTTTTTTTAAAAGTTCTTCAAGCGTTCCGCAAGGCTCTAACCTGGGACCTCTTCTATTTTTGGCAGCCATTAACAGCATAGTTAACAACCTTGAAAATGTACAAGGACTATTGTTCGCAGATGATTTCAAGTGCTTCATTCGAGTCGACTCTGTCGAGGATTGTGAGACCCTACAGAGTGACTTTTGTAGAGTTGCAAATTGGTGTGACATTGAAAGTTTCAATTTAAATGTGAGTAAATGTACTTGTATGACTTTTAGCCTAAAGCAAGAGATTATTAGGTATGAGTATACTCTAAATAATGTCAGATTGAACAGAGCGAGTCAGCAAAAAGATCTTGGTGTGATTTTTGACACCACATTGTCTTTTACCGATCACATAATTGCCAAGATTGAGAGCGCTCAAAGAACTGCAGGCTTTATTGCAAGAAATACCAGATGTTTTAGTGTGGAGGTTAGCTTGCATCTTTTTGATAGCCTTGTTTTGCCGATTCTGGAATATGGTACAATAATTTGGTCCCCTCAGTACAATGTTTGGGTATCACTCATCGAGGGTGTGCAGAGAAGATTCTTGAAGTGCCTGTATTTGAGGAAATTTGGAGAGTATCCTCGGAGAGGGTGTGACAATGAGTACCTCCTAGATATTTTTATGCACATTGTTTCGTATACTCAAGGGAAACATAGATTGTCCAGACATTCTGAGCCAATTACCATTTGCCATAAATAGAGTAAACTCGCGAAGCTCTAATGTTTTCTATTTAGCCTATCCTCGCACAAATCTTTACAAATGCTCGCCTATTTACAGAATGTGCCATTACTTCAATTTGTATGCTTCTGCAATCGACATTGATGCAACAAGTTTCAGTGAGTTTAAAAAATTGGTTGAAAATAAGCTGAGATCCATCGAATAATTTTATAATTTGTTAGTTTGTGTGTTTTAATTTATTTCCCCTCTAATTAAGTAATATGTACTTTATAAACTTTTGTTATTTTTGTGTATGTACCATTGCGATCAGGGAATAGTGGTGCAACAAATAATTCCATAATCCCCTGGTCTGTAATGTCTTGTTATTTTTTACAGGGTAGACATAAGCTGTATATGTAATTGGCCTATGCTGTTGATACATGTTCAATAAATAAATAAATAAATAAATAAATAAATAAGATGGCATTCCTTGTAATTACTCATGGGTTCACTAAAGCCAAACAGCTG